TATCAACTAATGGTTTTGTGGTTTTTTTCCCCATAAAACTGCGGAAGGCACTTGCACTTATGGTGTTGCTCATACATAACCTTCCCAAGTAGCCTTAGGCAAACTGACAAAACTAAGTTTTGCTGCTGATCTTTGCAACGCTGTGGGAAATCCTGAAATAATAATTCTTTTGGTTGGCTAAACTATGAGCTCTCAGAGTAAGAAATGGAGGTGCTGATATTAGAGCTTAGTATGGATGGGACTGGGACTGTCCCCTGGGTCATTAGAAATCTGTCCTTTTAAAATAGAGAAAGAAGTGTGAGCTTTGAATTTATCAAACCCATTAGGAAAGAGATGAAATGAAGATAAATGGATCTGCTGAGTAGTTCCAAGGATAACTCCCTATTATGAGGGCTAATATTCAGAATTTCACTGATGTGTTCTCCTTTCCTATCTCTGTTTTACATTGGAGGAGGTAGCCAGTAAGCTTTTCAAGGAGTAACCTCAGAAATATTTGACAAGGCCTACTTGATAGTGTTTTTTAGGCTTAATCTACACTAGAGAATGTTTATCAGTAGTTACACCAGCCCTACTGAAGAGAGCTTTATCTGTTATCTGAACAAAATAAACCATATTCAACACTGCCTTTTGCTAGTAAAACTGAATATACACTAAGGTTTTTGCTAGTATAAAAATATTTAAAATGGCACCCGTAACAAATATTACTATAATAGTGACAATTTAAGTGTAGACTTGACCTTAGTCTCTATTAGTCTTTTAATTTTTTAAACATCTTTAAATGTTTGCAGCTTCACAGCTTCAAAAAAAGAGAAATGAAAGTAAAGATGATACTTTTAGATACTTAAAGATGAAAAAAGTAGCTCATATGCTGTTCTTGTTTCTTTTTAAGGTTGTTCTATTCTTCACGTAAGTGTATGCATTTGGTGGGAGAGATTTTTCCGTGGTAAGTATGTTTTCTAAGTTTTTTGTTTTTTGTTTTTAATTTTTAAAACAGTAGCTCAGTAAGAATCTAACACTTAGCCAACATCATGATTGTTTGTGAGCTACTTCTTAATATGAGGCAGCAGTATTCTTCCTTTAAAAAACGTTAGATCTGTGACGATGGATGTTCTGCATTTTCCATACTCATTTTCCTCTTTAAGAAGGCGATCTAAACAATGCAGTACAGGGAGGTGTATGTAGTTGTTAGAAAACTACAGTAAAGTTTTATCTACAATCAAAATTGTTGATTTTTGACTCATGAGCTTATTTTGGCAAGTTATCCTTATATGTTCCAGTAGATTATCTTATCAAGGTTTTAGTACTTTAATTTTGCCTATAATGTATATGTTGATGGTATTTACCGATCTATAAATCGCTTATTTGAAGGTATGGACAAATGTTTAATTTAGGTATTTTTAAAGGGAAGGGACAACTGCTGCTCAGGAGTGTACGTTATGCTGTAACACTTAATTCTCCGTGATCCTGTAGCGTTACAAATGAGTTAAATCACCCTAACTTTGAACCTGAATGAAGCAGGGTTAAAATTGGAGCAGTTTTGCTATACGTTTATCACTACAGAATCCTGCAGATGCAACATCTGCATCGTAACAGCTTACATTGGTATCCTTTGACATTGCTATAGGTGTTATGAGTGGCTATACCCAGAAGTATTTACTCAACCAACATGACTCAATTTTATTGGTGGGATTAGTTCCTATTCTTCATGGACAGAAATAGAAGAGCATGGCCTTTGTCCCATTGTCAGATGGAGCCAAGAATGACTCGAGTTTAATGTAAACTCAGACACTCTTAACCATATTTTTAGTCTTATCAAGAAAGAGACAATGGTATGTGTAGCTGATGGTTGTGAAGGGTGGTTCCTCTAACCTTTACTCTTCTAGTACCCTCATCTTTACCACTTTGTCCTGCTTCTTTTGTAGTGAGGAGGAAGAAAACTACTCAGAGGGGTGTAGCACTGAAAAATTTACTACTTTTTTGTGAACTTTCCTTTGGGGAAGGAAGCATTGCAGCCTTACAATTTGGAGTACTACTCTTCTAGGGGAGATTAGTGTGGGAGAGATGGTCAAGAGATCCTTGGATAAGTATGCAAAGATTAGGCATATAGGCTGCTTTTACATGGGGAAGGAAGAGAAATAGCCAGAGCCCTTTAAGGGAAAAATATATTTTATTTGAAATGTGGGTCATTAGGTCATCCAATTTTTTTTTTAAATATGCAAAGGCTATAAACTCGTTCTTTTTAAACTGTAGATAGTAAACTAATAGAAAGCTAAATTTACTGGTGTCTTCCTGAAAATCCTGGTGAGTTGACAGACAAGGTTTGTCTAGCAATATCTTTTATTGGACCAACTATAGAGCTGGGAAAGCTGTTAGATAGATATGTGACCCTTTATTTATTGCTTAATGGAACTGATTTTATTCCAAAGCTCTTTTTCAGTGACAAGATCAGACATCCAATATTTCACTGAATTGGCTCAGAACTCTGCAGACTTGTGTATTTCTTAATTAGCACTTGTTGACACTTTTTTTCTTCTGGTTGAAATTATCAGCACCTCGCTGCCCTGAGAACTAACACCTTTGCTTGTCTTTTCCTATGTATTTTTGAATATATGGCTCCTATTACCATTAAATTTGAGTATCTGGTAGTCAGCAGTGAGGAACAATGTAATCACTCCACATAGTTGTCACTTATTACTATTAACCTAATATTACGCGAACTTCATATTGTTCTTTGAACAAAATTAGTTTTATGGCAGAATAGTTCTACTCCTAACCTTTATATGGCTTTGCGAATTGGTGTAGATATGCCTTCACCAATAAGATGCTGTTTTTCTTTTTTTTTTTGTTAAATGTGACTCCATTTTTTTTAAATATTTAGCTTTGCTACAGTGTAATTGAACCACAAATTGTAAAACTATTGGTGAGGCAACACATTAAGTCTGCATCTGTTGCAGACAATTTTTGATAAAAAATGTCTTGCACCTGTAGTTTCTTTTTTTAAATTTGGATGTGTACTTTGGCAAAATTCTGAACAGTCTTGAAAAATTAAACCTTGACCCAAAAAGTGAGGCTAGGTAGGAATGTTATTTAATATATGTCTTTCTAGATGTCCAGGCATTTTTAACACCCAAGTTAATATTGTTTGAAACATCCCATTACAGCTAATGTAGATGCATTCAAATTGTATTAGCTTAAGCAATTTTAAATAGGGTTCTTTTCTGGTTAGTTGTACATATCTATCCCACATGACTGTTTCAAATGCAGAGTTAAATAAAACTGTTTTCTAAATTTTAATCTGTTTTCTGCATTTGGGAAACCCAACAAGAATGAAATGAAGCTTCTATTCTACCTTTAGTTCCTGCTCCATGTATGTTCAGCATTTTTTTAATGTCTTTATCTGGTTTCCGTGATGCCCAGACAATGGTGTGTTTTGAGGCTGTATATAAAATGGTAGGCTTTATGCTTTCCATGAATATCCCCTTTTGTTCAACTGCTTTTGTAGAAATGTGTCCATCATACCTAGCTGGTGGTTCTTCCTTCGGCAAAGACTACTTTTTTCCCCTCTCTCCTTCTCTTTCCCTGTTACTCTCCCTGTGTTTTTATTAATGTCTCATGGCTCTCATCTAACATTTTTTTTAGTGCATTCACCATCATATTCAGTAAGAAATGAAACCAATTTTGTAATGCCACTCCATCATGCCTTCTAACCACATTCTAGCCCATTATCCACATCTTTCATATTGCAGACAAAAAAGGCTTGCCACCCCCAACCTCATAATAGCTTTATAGGGGGTCTATTGTTTCCATTCATATTGAGATGTCACAGATGTGTATACTCTTCTGAATTCTTTTCTCTCTTCCAGCTATAATGACCATTGCTCCTTTGATTCTCTTCTCAAGCAAATTGGAATAGTCTACACAAAAAGGAATTTAGGTCACAAATAACTTACGTTTATTCTACTGGAGCTAGAGGAAGAAAGATGCCTGAGTATATTTTTAATTATTCAGTAAATGTGGTTGAAAAATATGGCAAAAAATTTTCAGATAAATTGACACTGTCTCTATTACCAACTTGATTCTGCAGCCATAACAAAGTGTGCATTTTTAGTTCGTAGTTGAAGTGTGTAATTAATGGATTATTAAAGCTATGCCCATCGCTTTATCAACAGATTAAAAGCTGTCTGATTGTGTTTCTCTCTGTGTATACTAGTGATTTGCTGCCAGGATGTCAAGAATGATTCATTAACTTTAAAAAATGTCCTTTTATTTGCTGTGGTTTTGTTTCTCATTTTAAGATGGGGAGACATTCAAGTATTGTACTTGCTATTTTTAAAATAGTATACATAAAGTACATACAAGGCCTGTATTCCTGCCACCTCTTTAAAGAGCAGAGGTTTATAAAGTTGAAACGGCACTTTCAGATTTTAACAGATAAGTACTTAAGCCTGGAATATTTACCCTGGCATAGTATCTTATTAAAGACAAATGGTTTTCAAGAAAAGAAATTTCAGATTGAGGAATTAATAGGAATTAAGAAAATGTTAGCCAGTGGGCTAGTGTATAGTAATTAAATTGGTTCTTTAAAACAAGGTACACAGAGTAGATAGTAACACGCTCGTCTCTATCAGGGTATGAACACACCAGTGCTTGGAGCCAGTGGCGTACCGTGGGTCTCTGGCACCTGGGGGCCAATACTTGCATTTGCACAGTCTCCTCCTCCTCCTCCTCCTCCCCCCCCACCACCCAGGGATGATCTGAGCAGGGTGTCGGACTCGTGGCAAATCAGCCTTTGTGGGGCCCTGCCTCCTGCCCCACGGCACTTCCACGAGGGAATTAGCAGCGTGGCACACCAGCCGCACGGGGAGGG